GTGCACACACAGGTACACACACAGACACGCGACACAGCATGCGAAGCAGTTCCAGCGGGAGCCTGGAAATGTCCACAATCCCCCGCATGCCAACGGAATCGCCGCGATCGGGGCACTCGTCGGCCGGCCGCCCGGCATCGTGGACCCGACCAGAGATTGCCGCAAGGGGCGACGGGGCGGGGGGAGGGGGAGGCTTTTCTTCCAGAGAGCCTGAAGATGAAGGAAGTCACTTTGAGTGCAGCCGAGCCCCCTGCCCCCCCCCCCCTCTCCCTCCACCTGCTCACCTCTCCTGCGTGCGAAGGCACGTGTGCACCCGGTTACACAAGATCCTCTTCCCCCTTCTCGACGTCCATCTATCCTACACATATGCTCGTGGCATTGCGTACGGGCCTTCTCGCCGTCACTCGGGCCCGCATGGTGGCCATCAGGCCGACTGCGGCTCCCTTGTCGACCGATCCTCCAGGCCGGGGGATTGTGTCCCTTTTTTCGGCCCGGCTTTCCTCGCACGCGCGCACGTCTGGCGATCTGCCCGGCCTGTTGGAGCAGCTGACCCCCTTTGAGGCCCAGTCGCAAGAGGCCTTTGACCAGGTGTCGGGGCTGATCCATTTGCCGATCTTGCGCCTTCGAGTGCAAGCCAACGAGCAGGAGCTGGAGCTGGCGTACAGCCGCATGGCCGAGGGCGATGGCCTGTCGGCCAGCGGGGACGGCGGTGGCCTCCGGCGGCGCATCGAGCTCGAGCGTCAGTTGGCCAAAGACCGCGTGATGGTCCAGCGCATGGATGAGCTCCTGACTGAGCGAGCCGACATTTGCGAGCTTGCCGACATGCTGCAGGCCATGTATGCCGACATGCGTCCTGATGCGGCGGATGCCGCGGCCGAGGTGGCCGCCGTGGGGGCTTTGTCCATGGAACTGCACGCTCGGGCGCAGGCATTCCACAGCGCCTTGAGCCGAGTTCGGCAGGGGATTCTCTTCTCCGGCGAGGCGGATGCCTCTGGCTGTTTCCTGTCTCTGAATGCCGGCAACGGCGGTGTCGATAGCCAATCCTTCACGCAAATGCTGCTGGACATGTATCGTGGATGGGCCTCGGCCCGGGGCCTGCGGCAGGAGTTGATTGACAGCGCGCCCGGCGAGCGGCCCGACACCCTACGCAATGCCACGTTGCTGATTCATGCTGATGAACGGGCCGATGCCGAGGGCGGCCCATATGGTTGGTTGCGCGGGGAGGCTGGTGTCCATCGGCTGGTGCGGAATTCCCCTTTCGACGAAGGTCGCCGCCACACGAGCTTTGCTTCGGTCGGGGTTGCGCCTCACTCGCTGGATGAAGGGGGCCACGAGGACCCGGAGCTGTCGATCGATGCGCGGTATCTACACATCGAGACGACGACCTCGCGCGGGGCCGGCGGCCAGCATGTCAACAAGACCGAGTCGGCTGTCCGCATGACACACCTGCCGACCGGGATTGTCATCACCATCCAGCAGGAGCGCTCGCAGCATCGGAATCGGGCATTGGCACTGTCTCTGCTGCGTGCGCGATTGCTCGAGCGGCACCTGCATAAAAAGTGCGCCATCTTTCTCTCCTCCCTCTCGCTCCCTCTTTGGGCCTTTCAAAGCCAGCATCTCTTCGTCCCTTCCCTTGCTAATGGCTCCATGTGCCACTTGCTCCCAGACGTCTGGAGGAGAGCCTCCGCCGGAGTGACATGACCTCCAACTCCTTCGGTGGCCAAGTGCGCTCCTATGTGCTGAACCCCTATCAAGTGCGTTTCGCCCGGCACATTCAACCACCCCACCATACTCGCGGTCTCCCCCCTCGGTCTCCCTTTCTGTCCCCTTGTTGATGCCTCGCAGGCGGCAAAAGACCCTCTCCTGACGCTCGCTTCATTCCGGCAACCCGCCGCCCAGCTTATCAAGGACAACCGGACCAACCACGAAACGTCCCAAGTGCATGCGGTGCTTTCCGGCGATCTCGATGAGTACGCGCACTGTCACACTCAGCCCCGGCGGGCCAATCTCCCCCCTCTCTCCTCTTGGCTCTCGCCCTGTTGCTGACCCTTCATCATGCTGCCTTCTCCTTTTCTCTATCTCCGCCCCCCCCCCCCATGCCCCTCTCTCTCTCTCTCTCTCTCTCTCTCTCTCTCTCTCTCTCTCTGGCACCAGGTTCCTGATCAAGTCTCTCGAGCTCGAGGCTGCCGCCACGGTTGGAGGAAAGGACTAGCCCTCTTCTTCATGCTTCACACATAAATCCCTTCGGATGCATTCCCTTCTCCTACCCCCCTCCCCCCATTGTGGATCTCTCTTCCCTCTTCCTTCCTTTCTCTCCCGCCCCCCCCCCCGGCACATATCCAATAGACCTAGACACATATGCACAGTCAGTCGATTGTGCGTTCATTCCCGGCGACTACGCCACCATCCCCGAGGCCAGGAAGGTGGCAAGCGGCATGAGCGACAGGAAGAGGGCAGGCGCATAGGAGGCAATCTCGCGTGCCATTGCCGGCCCGAGGACCCCGACCGCGCCGGCCAGCAAGCTGAATGATCCCACCAAGCAGAGAGCCCGTAGGGCCATGGCCACCTGCTGGCGCGTCTCGGCCACCAGAGCCTTGTCGGCCGGCGAAAGCCCCGGGTCGCCGTGAGTGCTTGGCTCGGCATCCGGGAAAAGGGCACGGCCCATGCGCTCGGCGGCCAGCCACAGAAGACCGTAGGCCATCACCAAAACCGGGCTACGCTCAACTCGCAGAGCCGCCAGAAGGCGATCCGCCGCATGGGCCACGACTGCCGGGCTCTTCGCCAGGGGCAGGCCCATGCCGGTGGCCGTCGCCGCCGCCGCCGCCGCCGCCGCCGCCGCCTGAGACACAACGCCCCGGATGATGGGCTCATCCAGCTGGCAGCCAGCCAAGCGCAGGTGCCCGGCCACGAGGGCCACAACCAGGCGCAGTGTCCGCACAGCGGCCACATGCATGGCCCGCACCACGGCAAGCGCGTCGCCTTCGGCCCCGGCCCCCATGACCGCCTGAGCCAGGGTCTTCAGGGACCCGGCCGGGATGGCCATCGCCCCGGGCAAAGCCGCCGACAGCTTGGCCAAGTGCTCCGGCGAGGGACAGAGATCGGCCAGCTGGTGCGCCGTGGGCCGGTACTCCGGGCTGAAGGGCCAGTCAATCAGCCGCTCGGCGCGAAGCCAGGCAAAGGCCCGCGTAGCGGCCAGCGCCACCGGAATCAGGCACGCGAACAACAGATACACCTTATACTGATGGGTTCGGCGCTGGTGGTCATGCGGCGCGAGGCAATCCCAGCAAGGGCGAGCAGAGGGGTAAGTTACTTGCGCATTCAGCAAGGCGGGACCAAATAACGAAGTAGCAGGCCCGCGAGTGGGAGGCGGATGTGCGGGAGGACCCGGGCGCACCGCATGCGAAGTGGGCCCCATGCCGATGACAGATAGGCGACCCAGGCCGAGGCCCAAGAGCCGGGCAATGCTGAGCAGAACCACCGCCAGGTGGCCAGGCAGCAAAGATGCAACCGAGATGACGGCTGCCAGACGGAGGGCATCCCCAACCCCGGGGAGACGGGCTCCGAGACCGCGGACCACCGGCCGAAGGGGCCGCACCACCAACAGCCAGAAGGGCGAAAGGATGGCCGCCAGAGCGCCGACCACCAGACGGAAAGCCCCGAGACAGGCATGGGCCAACAGCAGCGACGCCGTCAGCCGATATGCCGCCACGGCCAAAGCCTCGACCGCGATGCCGAAAAGCGCGTGAGCCTCCCCGGCGCTGATGGACAGCAGGGACTCCAGCCCATCGGCCGGGGTGATCAAACGCACGGCCGATACGGCGGCCGCCGCGGCCGACAGGATGGCCATCGCCCCGACCAGCGGCCACGCGTGGCGTCCGATGAACACTTCAATCGGATGGTCAGCCCCGGCGGGGCTGGGCTTCGACCCGAGCACCATAAAGAGGATCCCCCACCCGAGGACCAGCACCGGGGCCACGGTGGCCGCGTCAATACGCGTCGCATGGGCCGAGAAGGTTCGCAGGTCCCAGTACACGCGCAGGGCCAGGGGCTCACCACCAGAGCCGAAGACCGGAGACCGGGCTTCGTTGGTTTCCTCCTGCTCGAAGACTCGAAGCAGGCGAAGGTGCAGCCCAAAGTCCGCCAGCGTGGCGAAGTCCAATGCGCTGGAGGGCTCGCGAATGGCCCCGGCATGGGAGTGCGAGAAGATGGCCGCCCCGCCATTGCCGCACTCCAGGGCCTCCTGCTCGTGGACCTTCTCCTCGTCATTGGCCGGCGCACGGGTCCACAGGAGAACACGCTGGCCGCCAGGCCCGCCTTCCGAGGTGGTGCCCTGCCGGAGGAGACACGCCCGAAGAGGGAGCCCCCCGCCGAGTGCCGAGAGGCCTGTCCAAGCAGGCAGCTGCACCAGCTCCGAGGCCAGAGACCCGGCCGGCAGGGGGATCGTGATGCCGACCACCGGCACCGGCAGCACCACAGTGTGGCCGACCAGTGGCAGGGACACCTGGCGCCGGGCCAGCAGCAGCTGGAACGACATCGACTTGGGAGACGTGACCGACCGGTCAGCGGCCGGGGCCGACAGGCAAGTGCGCGTGCTCCACCGAGCGGCCCCGCCGGATGCCGGCACCAGGATGGCCACCGCGTCATACGGCCGGCCATGGTAGATGACCGCATGCCAGTCCACCGTGACCGACAGGCTCACCTGCCGCCGGGTGAGCTGAGTAACGGACAGGTGGGCAGCCGGAACCGGCGTGCACGCGCCTCCGGCCGTCAGAGCCGTCAGGGGAACCCGCGGCGAATCCCCCCCTCCGGACACCAAATCCCGATAGTCATCCTGCGAGCAGAGCCACACGGCAAATGGATCAGACGGCCAGCCGCCGGCCGCCGGGGCCGACAGCGGGTCGGCAAAGACATCCACCCGGGAGAGAGGCTCACTTCGGGCATCCGGCGCCCCGGGGCCCGAGATGGCAATCACCAGTGGCCGATCCAGGTCAACGAGCACTTCGGTGTCGGCGCATGGCCGGCCGGCATCCAGACTCACCGCCGGCACAGTCGGCAGGGTGAGCCTCCGGTCTTCGGCGCCCAGTTTCAAGCCCTGAGGAAGGGCAAAGCGCTGGGAAAAGGAGGGGCTCACAATTTGCCGGGTGATGGCCACGCGCCTGGGCAGGTCGAGCATGGCCGCCCGACCGTCGTTTGCATGCAATTGCGCCTGAATAATGTGATTCACCGCGCGCACGGTCTCCGCACACCAGACGATCGTCTGCTTGCCAGTTCGGCCAGAGAGGAGAGAGGGAAGGGGAATGAATGAATTGTGGCAGGGGGGCATTAGCTGGCAGAAGATACGGAAGGGGCGGGCGAGGGACGATGGAGAGAGGCAGACTCGGCAGGTGGAGCTAGCGCGCGCTGCCACGGACCTGGTGGTCTTGCGATGTGCTGACCCCCGGCAGCCCGGTGGTCCAGCCGGACACGACATTGGTGGCCGGCGACAGGACTGCCCGACCCCCAGGGGTGTTCTCTGCGTCTGTCCAGTCGACCCAGACGCCCCGCTGGAGGAGCCCCTGAAGCCAGTTCAGCGACCCGTCAACCAGCAGATCGCGCGAGCCCGGGGCCAAGCTCAACAGAGACACATGCTGGCGGAACCAGGCACTGTCGGTGACCGGGGTCAGGCCCAGGGCTGCGGCCGTGTCGGCCACCTGGCTGTCGGCCACCATGGCAGCCGTCGAGCCAGCTTCCTGGGTCGCCAGCGCCGCCGCCCAAAGGTAGTTGACTGCCTGGTACAGATCGTGCAGGGTGCGCGAAATGGCCGGCAGCGGGGGGCTGGCATGCGGCGTCGCCAGGGTGACATACGACTGGACCGTGCGCGGGGGGTGGCTAGCCAGCAGGGGCATGGTCCGGGCCACGATGCCGCCCATCGAATGGCCAATGAGGATGATCGAATCGGCTGGTGGCGGGGTACCCAAAGGAAAAAAAAAAAAAAAAAAAAGATCCCAGACAGGATGTCAGACACGACTCGGCACCGAGGAAGAGCCTCAGCTGGATGGGTGGCTCATGGGGGCCAGGGGAAGCCGCGCACCAGTCGGATGGTGATTCGCCAGCCAGGCGAGAACGTAATTGGCAAAGTGCGCCTGGGCCATGATGTCGTCCGTGCGGAACCCCGTCATCTCGCCATCGGTCTCGACCGAGTAGAAAACCAGCGAGGCAGTCGGCGAACCGCCGAGGTCCGCCAAGTCCCACTCGTCAAACTGATCCCACATCTCCGGGTCCTTGTAGCCCAGGGTCAGGCCGTGTGCATGCCTCGCAGCCACGGATGCCAAAGACCGGACCTGTTTGGAGGATCCGCCGGAGCCGGCGATGAAGAGGACCGGCTGGAGCTGCGCAGGGGAAAGGGGCGGAGCACATTGGGGAGAGGAGGGGGGAGGGGACAGGGGGGACGGTCAGGGGGATTGATCTCAAAGTGCACCTTGGCACAGGATAAAAAAGGGAAGAGCGACATCATGCTCGAGAACATCCAGCCCGCGGTCCCACGTACTGGCAGGTGGGTGGCTGGCGGACGGCCGGCATCATCAAAGCGAATGAGCTGGTACCGCCCCGAGCGACTGGCCTCCCGATAGGCTGCCGCCCAGTCGGCCTCGGTGCGCTCGGCAAACAGCACACCCCGCCCTGGATGAGGGGGGACCTTTTTGCCCTGCCTCTGGCCGTAGGGGATCGGCATGGTGGCCAAATTCAGTCGCGGGTAGGATGGCCGCGAATAGGTCATCGCACAGCTGCATGGGTCGATGGCGGACGGGCCGAGGACCGAACGAGCCGCGGTCGTCACCTTCTGGAGCAATGGGCCGGGGCCGGTCTGCCCGGGGCCCAACAACTGCTGAAGACTGGCCGGCAGCCGGGGCTCCTCCGCCACCGGAGTTGCCAGCAGGCCAGCCCAGGCGAAGCCCAGCAGCAGGGCCGTCGCCACGGCCGACGCCAGGTACACCGCCAGACGCAGGCGCAAAGTGGCCGGGGGATCGGCCGGGGGGATGCCGGTTTGGCCAGCGGCTGCCCGTGAGCTCTCGCCCATGGGCGCAATCGCAGGGGCAGAAGCAGTGACATCCGAGGCGGCTGGCTTGACCTGAGGCTTCAGGTCAGAGGTGCTACCATGGCGTTGCTTGACATTTGCCGCCGCCGGGTCTTGTCGGGTGGAGGACCGGCCCACGGGGGCTACCTCGGCGCGGCCATTTGCCCGCGCCCTGGGACGGCTGGTTGTCATGCGATCAGACGCCCAGACGAGAGAGGAGGACAGGCGGGCGGGAGAGGAAAGGGAAAGAGCGAGCGAGCGAGAGAGAGAGAGGGAGGGAGGGGGAGAGGGAGAGAGGGAGAGAGGGAGGGAGGGGGAGGTGTTCCTTTTGGCCAACGCCGGCCAGAGACACCTCATCCCGAGTAGAAAAATATATGCCCGTCCTCCCCGTCGTCTTTCCCGCGGCCTCCCTGCCTACCATCCACAATCTCCTTGTTTCCATGCAAGGGCGCTTGAGGAGTTAAACCGGCCGAAAGGGAAAAAAGAGGACACCCTGAGGAGCGGGGCCCTGACGCGGGGGACTGTCCAACCGTCCGCCCCCCGGCCGCCCCCCCCCCGAGCCGCGGAGAGATCGAGAAAGGGAAGGGCAGGTATACGTCAAGACAGACACTCCACGATCGGGAGAGCCGACGGAAGTCGCCGATTCGAGGCTGATCACCACCCCAATGGCATACCACGTGCTGCGGGTGCTCCATGTAAGGGCGCCGTCCCGGCGGGCGCACGATCTTCTCGAAGTACCCACGATCTACCCCCCCCCCCCCCCTTGCGTCACAGACACATATCGGCCTCCCAGCCAGAGGGCCCTCCGGGGGCGGGGGAGGGATCGGCACTCCCCTCCTCCCACCTCTTGCAACCCCCGCCCCTCCCCCATCGCCCAGTCCTGTGCCCAATCCCCCGCCCCTCCCTCCCTCCCTCCGGTTGGCACGCCCACTTTTTCTCCGCGGCGGATCTAACTCGTCTTGTTGACACCCTCGAGCCATGTCGTCCCGCGCTCTTCGCCAGCTTCAGCGGGTGCGCAACCGCCAATTGCTGGCATATACACCTGCCCCCGGCTGCCTTCCATCGCTTTTTCTCTTTCCTCACCTTCCGATTGACACCCCATCCGTTGCGCCGCCTTAGCAACGCGAGCTCGAGATGGCCCAGCGCCTGCAGCAAGAGGCCTCCGACTCATCGGAAGCCTCCTCCTCGGGCGAGGAGGCCCCTGTCTTTGCCGCCCCGAAGCGTGTCAATACCTTTGCCATGGTGCGTGAAGCTCTCCCTCTCTCCCTCTCTCCCTCTCTCCCTCTCTCCCTCTCTCTCTGCTCGAGATGCGGCTCTCTTCCTTCCTTCTCTCTCCCTCCCCCTCCTCGACCCCCGTTCTCTGACCCGTGGTGCCCGCCGCCCGCACAGCTGATGGGTGTCAATGAGGATGACACTTCCTCGTCCGAGGAATCCGACTCCTCCTCCTCCTCCTCCTCTGAGGATGAGGCGCCCATTCGGCGCCCGGCACGCTCGGCGCCTCCTGCCTCGCGAGGCCGTCGCCAGGCCCCCGCCGCGGCCCCGCTCTCCAAGAAGCAGCAGAAAAAGGCCCAACGCCAGAGCAAGCTGGCTGCCAGCACGCAAGTGGCCGCCGAGACCGAAGTCCCGGAGGCCAGCAAGACTCCGGCGGCTCAGCCACGCACCGGCGCCGGCTTTGAGCATCCTCTCTCGGCGTCGCTCTTCCGCGCGGCTTTCGGCACGCAGCCCAACAAGATGGACGCCAATGCCGAGCTTCGGCGCTTCTTCGGCTCGGACGTCATCGGCCATTCGAGCTCCGGCATGGGCGGTGGCAATCTGGTCCCCTTCCGCCATAATCGGGGACACCCCTCGCAGCGGGGCCGGTCCACACGCCCGGGCCTCCAGATGACCCCCTTGTCGCCGGCGCAAATCAACCAGGATGGGCGCTTTTTCTACTGCTTCACCCCGACGCAGGTGTACCTCCAGGTGCAGCAGCGCTTCGAGGCCCTGCTTGGCACCCACAACTACGACCAGATTCACAACCTCTTCCATGACGTGCGCCAGGACCTCTCTCCTCCTCCTCCTCCTCCGGGCCCCCTGGCTGCCTCCTGCCCCTCCGTGGCGGATATCCCTCTGACATGCCTTCTCCTCCTCCTCCTCTCCTCGGCCTCTTGGGGGATGTGCTCCTGGTCTCGCTGGCCTGCCAAAGGCCCCCTTCCATGCGCCGACTGCCCTGACGGTGGCCGAGATGCTGCGTCGTCAGGGAAGCGCCCCGGAGTCCGACGATGTGATTGGTACGTCCCAGCCCCGCCGCACCCTCTGCCACTTGCTCGGCCCCGTCTGCCCTCTAACACGGATGCCCGGCCATTACCCTCGTAGAGCGCATCATCTTCGACTACGAGGTGCGCGCCTCGTCGCAGTTCCAGCCATATCGCCTGCAGAAGCCCGACCAGCTTGCCGAGTCGCCGGACAGCGTGGTCCCGGCCGGTGGCTGGCTCTCCTATGACGTGGAGATGAATCGGTCTCTCTTCCTGGCCCTCTTCCATCGTGTGTCGTCCGTGGCCCGGACTGGCGCCCACCGGGCGGCCCTGGAAGCGGCTAAGGCGCTCTTCTGGTACGTCCCGCTCGAGCATGCACGTGCACATGCACACGCAAAGTGCATGTGTGTGTGTGTGTGTGTGTGCAACATTCGTGCCCAGGATGTGCTGACACCAATCCGCCGCTCAGTCTCAATCCCCTGGATGACCCGCTGGCGTCGGTTCTTCTTCTCGACCACTGCGCCGTCCGTGCCCGCGAGGACTCGTGGCTGCTGGTACGTACCAATGGGCCTCCCCTTTGCGCTTCCCTCCGAAAGTAGGTCTAACTGCCCCCCGCCCCCCCCCCCCCCCCCCCCCCCGGTGTGCCCCACCCCTCTTCTCATTCCCGCCGGCCAATCGCACAGTCCATTTACGACTCGTTCTGTGACGTGCTTGGCTTGCACTTCCTCCCATCATATGCCTTTAGCCTGGCCCTGTGCACGGATCGCGTGGAAAATGGCACGGCCGACTCGGCGCCGTCACTCATCCAGCGCGGCTCGCGCAAGCCCACCTCGGCCACCAACAAGAAGGCCAGCGGCGGTGCGGCCCGCTCGGCGGCCAACACCGCCACCGATCACCTGTCGGCTCAGCTGAACATGGCTTGCTCTGGGCTGGCCCGTTTGCCGGAGCAGGCGGCCGGTCGTCTGTGGGCGGCGATTGCCGCCTTCCCCGCAGCCGCGAGGGCCCTCTGGCAGGAGGCTGGCGGCTCGCCGGCCGACTTCCCACCCATCTTGAGTGCCTACGCTGACGCGGTGTCCAGCCTGCCCGAGGACCCGGCCAACCTGGCCCATGTTCCACTTCTCACGCCTCAGGATTTGGACTCCGACAATCAAGGCGAGTGGTCCATCGCCGGCGAGTGGTATGAGTTCGATCCCGAGCGGGTGCTGGCCATCTGCGGCCGGCCAGCCTCTCTGCATCCAGCCGCCCGGCCGACTGATTTGGCTCAGTCTCTGGAGGCTTTCGCCGGGCTGCCGCATGTGCCAATCGTGGCGGCCAACCGGTCGGTCGCGCTGGCGACCGTGTTTGCCGCGCGCTCCCACTCCATTTGGCGCGAGCCCACGGTATGCCTCCTTCCTGCTTGTTCCCTCCCTCTCCCTTTCGCCCTCCCGTGTCTGTGTGTGTGTGTGTTTGTGTGTGTGTGTCCCCGGGAAAGCAAGTCGCCTGACCCTTTGCTTGGCCTTTTGGCCCACCTACCACCCCCTTGGAAGACCACCAACTGGCTCCGGTCGGGGATTGCGGCGGTCGCGCGTGCTCTTTGCCATGAGGCGGCCCAGAGCCCCCAAACGTCCGGGACCGATGATTCGGCCGTCAGCCGGCGTATCCGCGACCTGCGCCTGGCCGCCTACAACTCGGCCTTTGCCGCGCGCTTTGTCGAGCTGCCCGAGGCCTATCGCGTTCCGCTCGCTGGTGGCTTGGCCGCGGTTGATGCTGCCGACCCGGCCAATACCGCCGTTGTTCCAACAATCCCCAAGGTTGGCCCGTCAACGCGAGCCCTCTCTCGTCACATTGTGGTGGCCGGTGCGCGACTGATGTCCTCCCCTCTTCGGGTGTCTCGCTCTTTCCCCCCCCCCCTTTCCGCCCGGCCCTGTCTTTCTCGTTTCCCATGCCCTTCGCCCCTTGCCGGCCCCATGCATCTGACACCCGGGTGCAACAGACTTGCCCAAGACCTTCGGCTGCCTGCCGCCGACCCATGCCAAGAGTGACTTGCATCCCCATGACCCGTTGCCACCGCGCTATGAGCCCGTCCGGGGGTACGCCCTCAATACGGACGCCTCGGTGGCCGGTGGCGCCTCCGCGTCTGCTGCCAGTGAGGAGGCTCCCTCCCTGCTGTCGGTGTCGATGAATGCCGTCGGCTCGATGATTCAGTCGCTCAACCCGAACTATGTGCCGGAGGCCGGTGTCGGTGCCGGTGGCTCCGCCGCCAGCCGGCCCTGTCCCGCGCAGGTGGCCAACGAGGACGGCTGGGCCTCGGTCGCACCGGCCCCGCGACGTGCCCCGGTGGTCGGCGGGGTCGGTGCCCCGGCCGACATTCTCCGTGGACTGATGGATCTGTTGATGAATATGCACCAGAATGGCGCGAACGCCGACGTCGCCGAGGCCGGCCGCGAGCAGCTCATGCAGGCGCTCGGTGTCGATCCGGAGGCTCTCCTGGAGAGCATGTACGACCCGGCTGCCGATGAGGAAGACCAGGAAGACGGGGACTTTGATGATGAAGATGAGGAGGAGTTCGACGACGAGGACTTTGATGACGCCAATGACGATGCTTTGGCTGGTCCCACGCCCGCAGCCGCCCCCAATGACGACCCGGACATGCATTCACTGGATGCGCAAATTTCGGCAGCCATGTTGCGCGATGACATCTACGAAGACTGGACCGATTGAGGAAAGGCCCTGCTTCTTTTTTTCTTTCCTCCCTCCTTCTCCAGCACTATGTCTCTCTTCCCATTTTCCCCTGATGAGGATGTCTACTGTGCCCCACTTTTTTCTCTCTCCCCTTCGCAGGAGGATAAAATATACTTAGAGGGGTCACCATGGCACATGCTGGTTCTCGGGGAACAAGCGTATGTCCGGCTCTTCGCACACTGGTGGACATGCATGGAAATATGTGCAGGTGCGCATGTGTGTGTGTGCATTCTATGCACAGAAAAGGGTGCATGCATCGTGTGCATGTGTCTGAGGGGAGGAAAGGCGAGAAGAAGCAGATAAGGAGGAGGATATATATATATAGAGAGAGAGAGAGAGAGAG